CCCCAAAACCCCAAAACCCCAAAACCCCAGCTTAATCATAACTGATGGAAAATTCTAAATATGAATATATTTTATCCTGACTTCTTGTTTTTGATGTAGTAATAAACTCCAAAAGCTACCAAACAAATTCCAACCAAGGCAGAAGATATCTTGGATTTAGAGGTCTTGGGCCATCTTGTGAAGATTTCCTTACGGTTGTATTCAGGTTTTTCAACAGCAACTTGAACAAACTCTTCTGCCCGCAATATAAGTTTGTACTCCTTGGAAAATTTAGATGTAGTTTTTTCTTCAACTTGCTTTGCCTTGTCTAGCAAGTTAAAAGCATCCTCGAATTCTTCCAAATGCTTCTTTACAACTGCCATTCTAACCAACACAGAAGAGCTTTCAGGATTGACTTCAGAGCCAAACTTGGCTTTATACATGTCATAACAGTTGAGAAAGCCTTGGTAAGCTTCCTGATAATTCCCTAGCTGAGATTTCAGTTGGGATACTGTTTTAATAGAATCAGCATGCTCTAAGGAACCTTCACCATAGATATCAGAAGCAATTCTCTCAAAGTCTGTAGAAATCTGTAAAGCTTCTACACGAAGTTTGGCCTTAGAAAGTATCTTGATCTTAGTTTTTAATGCTTTGTAATAAGTGTGAGTGTTCTCCCCATCTTTCTTGGCATAAGCCAAGAAAGCAGTCGAGAGTTTACCAGCTTTGGCTATATCTCCTTCGATAGATAGATTGGTGATGGTAGTATCATAAATTTCATCAACAATCTCATCCACAGAGGTCTGTGTTGGAAGGAACTTCAGTGCAACCTGGACATACTTTTGAGGCAGCCCAGTAACTTTGGCTATCATTATTTGTGCTAAATAGATAGAAACCAGTTTTTCCTTAGTGACAATATTGAGGTTTTGTTCATAAAGCTCAGCTAGGGAATCAAGCTCCTCCATTGCTCTCCCCATACCTTGCATTTCAGGAGCAGCCATCATGGTCATAATATTTGTGTAGTCAAGGTTGATCCTAAACTCGTGCAATTTATCAATCTCTAATTCATCTCAGTACTCAAGAGCAGTCTCGATATATGGCTTCATGGTAGGGTCGCTGATAGACTCAAGTGATGACACAAAGCATATATAAGACAGCTTGTCATCTTTGATCAAATCAGCATAGTTCTTAGCGATCTGATAATCAATTTGGACTCCCATCAGCTCTTGAATATTTACCAGAAATCCGAAGCCATCCATCATGCTGTAGTTCATTTCATAGGTTGATCCGCTGACCAACTCTTCGAATTCTTTTTTGAACCCAAAGATCTTGCCCTGGTCAACAGACTCAGGATCAAGAGTAAACATATGCATACTAATCATAATTTTGTAGTAGAGCTTGAGACTCTTCGTAAACCTATGATGCTCTACAAACTTATCAATGACACCTGCCAGTCTGACAACTTCTTCCTTGTCTTTTAGCTGCACTCAGTCTATGAGATCTACCATCAACAGCCAAAGGAAACTGTCGGCAAGTTCTGGCTCAGGATGAGTTTTGAGTTCTTCCTTGATAACTGGAAGTATACGTCTTACTTGCTTGCCTAACTCCTCATCAGGTTTTGAAATGATGTGATAGTTTCTAATAACAAAATCTTTCATTAGATACAGCAATCTTGTAGACTGACAAGTATCCAGAAGTTTATCGCTAATAGACATCCACTTCTCAGGGTCTGAGACTGAATAATAATTTGCAAGCAGCATATCCTTCTTGAACTCTAGATCTGTGGCGACTTCTTGAGGGAAGGCTCTGCTATTGATGTCTTTGAAGATGTCTCCAATGTACTCTTCAGGAGTTTTGAAAGTAAGAGTTGCATATTTATAATCAACTGATAAATAAGCAGAGTAATACTTGAAGGCAACATAATCGTTTGTCTTATTAGCTTCAAATAACTCTTTGAATATTTCCATCAATAATCTGCATCTTGTGTATCCTCCATTGTATCAGAAGATATCAAACAAGTTGAACATGAATTCAGCCTTATACTTCAAAGGAATTTCCTTATCTCCATTTCTTACCCCAATAATTTCCTGATACAAATCCTCAAACTCTTCAATATTCTGCCTATCCTCTTTAACATTAAATAACACCAGTTTAAGCCTCATCTCCTCCACCCTCCCTCTTTCTGTAACTTCCTCTACCATTCTCTCCACTTCGCTCACAGCCATCCTTTGCACCTTCTCCCTGACCCTCAAATAATCAGTTTCATCTATCTTCATAATCTCCACTTTGGGTGGTTCTAAATTCATTATATTATTATACTTCGGGGTTTTGGGGTTTTGGGGTTTTGGGG